TTCTAGATTATCAAGTATATATATTTAAAATTTTATATAAATTAAATAAATATTCATTGAATATAATCAAAAAAAAAATATCTGCTTTTTTTTGTTACATACTATATATAATTAAATTACTAATAAATTTTTATCTAAACTATTTAAAATTATTCAAAAATTAATTTTGATAATAATATAATTATAAAAATTAATAAATTAAAATTTAATAAATAAAAATATTATAAAAAAAAATAAATAAAATATAAGTTATAAAAAATATTAAATAATAAAAAAAAATATTTTATTAAAATTTATAAATATAAAAGATACAAAATTTTTAAAAAAATTATATTAAAATATATAGTATCTGGTTTTATAATATATATAAATTCTTGAAAAAAATATTTTAATATTAAAAAATTAATATAATATATTAAATAATTAATTATTTTAAAAACTTTGTTAATTTAGAAATAAATATTTATCTAAATATTATTAAAAAACTTTAAAATAAAATTATAAATTTAGTCAAGAAATCATAATAAAAATATAATTAAAAAATTTTTATTTAAATTTATTTAACAAAAAAAAATAAAAATAATTTATAAAAAAGTTTTATTAATACTTTAAATTACTAGATATTATAAATAAATAATTTTTATTAAATATAAAAAATAAAAAATATAATTTATTAAAAGAAAAATTTTATTTTTATAAATAATAAAATATTTATTATCACGTGATCTTAATTATTAATACTTAAAAGAATTATATATAATAATATATTAAATAGTATATTATGTAATAAATAAATAAATAAATAAAATAAGAAAATTCATATAATATTAATAAATTATTTTTATCATATTTTTTTTAAATTATCACTATAATAGCCATTCCAGTTCTTTTATAATTCATCCAAATTTGCATAATTATCAAAGATAATTTGAACAAGTTGTTGAATAATATTGCTATTATCCTGTTTTTAAGATGTTTACAAACAGTCTCTTTATCAAATAATAAAGTGATAATCGTGTTTATTAATTAATTCTTCTGTAATTAGCATATTTTAAGTAATTGTAGTTGTCATATAATCTTAATAATTGTAAATTGCAATGAATCCATTTTTTTTCTGGAATAATAATATCTTACTTTCACAAAGAGAACATCAAAAAACTTTCACTCAGTAAATGTGATAATTAAATATGTTATTCAATAGTCAGTCGCGATATAATATTGTGGATTCCAATCAGCGATGAGATTTTCCATTGTTCAATCAAAACTTGGGGGGATTAGCAATGTGAGTTATTTTCCCCGGAAAATTTGACATATCCCATGATCAATATTTTCCGGAAGTTCAAGTAGATTCCCAAAATCAAATCCGATACCAAAAACTATAAATAGGACTCTCGAACTAATTTTTAATCAATTTGTTTAATTTGTTTAGAAGTAAAACGCGTGAATTTTCGCGTTGAGCTAGTTATTTATTATTTTTAATATTTGATAGATTAAAATGATTATAGTGTTTCTGTTAGACTCTAGTGCATCTATGAGTAAAAAGTTCTCTGCGATTAGCGGTTTTGATTTATCCAGAGGCGGAATTGAGTATTTTTTGGCGGTGTGTAGTATAGGAGAGAGAATTTAATTCTTGAATTGATTGTTTTCCTATTTACTGTATAAGGTACCTCGGCATTTTGATGGATTTCTAGTTAAGTAAAGAAAGTTAGAAGCCATTAGTAGAAATAGGGGAAGGTGAAATGGTGGGGTATCTTATTCGGTACATATAATCTGTTTTCAATGTCAATTTTTCAAATTAAATTATTCTTTTTATGATAAAAAGAGATCTAAACCACAAGAACGGCACAATCACCAGTACATTCTTGTGACATATGAACCGGGTTTAGCTGGAATAAAAGTAAATTTTAATATTTTGATCCATGCACATTTTTTTCTATATTTCTTAAAGATCATTATAAAATTATTGAATTTAGATGTTATTCGAGACAGATATCGACATTGTCTTAAACAAAGTAAAAACTTTACAACAACCGAAAAATGATGATTCAATACCGGGCAGAGCGCTCGCTACTATTTTTGAAATTCTTGATTCGCATCGATTGAAGATGGAGAAAGATACGCCGTATAGGGTGAGTAACGAATTAATTAGTATATATAAAATAATATTTTTAACTTTCATTAGAAACTTTTATACGTATTGATTAAATTGAAGAGAATAACGAATAATAAATAATATATACAATTCTTTGAATGAATAATTAGGGAAGATCAATCCCGGATTCAGTAGTACCAGCTTGTATTCTCTGGTTCACGAATGGTGCGGAATTTCATAATTCAGAAGGAAGGGTAAAGCAAAATATTCCAGAATAATTTTATTTTTTATTTTATTTTTTAATCGTTTTCTAAATAATAGCATCTAGCAATTCCTCCGTTACAAACACCCGGAGGACAATTATTTGATAAACCGTATCGATGGGATCACTATATCTATACATTTCTTTTGAAATCCGAAGATACAATAAATGAAGCTGATATAACCCGGTTAACCACAGATACAGGGGGTGGGTAATATTGAATATTTGTAAAATAGTGTGTGGAATTTTATTTTATTTTTACTTATTATTGTTAGGTATAAAGTAGTAACATCTGCTATATCATCAATAATAATAATAATAATAGTAGTAGTAATAGTAGTAATAATAATAATGATAATAATAATAATAAGAATACAATTATTATTGTAATACAATAGGGCAAGTATTTGAGATATATCCGACACAACCCCCAAATTACACCTCTCACGAGAAATACAGAGTCACAAAAGCTATCACAAACTCAATTGATAGACTTTTCGGCTTACGAATAGATAATAGTCCGGCTATTCCAGCGCTCGGTCCTTTCCGTGATCCATGCGTGATGATAAATCTAGCAGAATTGAATGGTTTGTAGAAGAAACACAAACACCAACTAACATCGCTTCTCTTCTGTTCGTTGTTTTTCTCTTGTTTAATTAGATTTTCGCCGTTTGCTTATCATCATTATTCCTGTACGTAGGTGATGGGCAAGTAGAACAAGAAATGCGTACAACACTCTTTTTCGATCCAGAAAAATTGTCAAGTCGGAAATTTTTCCCAATACCTGAGGACGCGTGGATCGGTGAAATGACAAAAAATAATGATTTATTAAGGACAAGGCGAAATAATATACCAACTATATATTACAAGAAAGAGGATTACAAACAGCATTATCGGTTTGATGTGTGGCCCTTTTTCGAAAAGTATACGGTGGGTTCGTGTCCCGCTGTTCGACAGCTGATTAGTATGCCGCCGGGAACAAATTGGCCGGTATGTATATACCAATAATAATTTTTTTTGATGGTTGTTAAAATAATAAATTGAAATTAATTATTTATGGATAGATATATATAAAAAACAGTCACAAAAAAGGCGGGCTCGGAATGCCTTTTGGGTTTTTGGTTGCTCTTGATAATCGCTTATCGATAAATCTGAATATTCTTCCGTACAATTATCCGGCATTGATGCGATTGATGAAAGATCATGAGGGTAAATAATTTTTAATTTGTTTCTTGTGAAATGATTCAGAATGTCTTTGCAATATATATAAATTTATTAATTTTAATCAAATTGAAATTTACAGCTATAATGAAAGATCACAGGCAGAAATCGATTGCTTTGCCTACTAACATAGTAAAGGACTGGTTGCGATATGTTAACGATATTCCGCTGTATTATCGTATGGTTCGTTAACTATATTATTATCGTTCATATTTCTATAGTCATCATGTATTAATTTCGATCTTTTTTATTTTTATTTCTCTGTTCTCTAACTTATTAAATTAATCAGCCTCTACAACAAGCGATCATCAATCGTGGACTAGACCCATCAATCATCCAGATGGATTCGCAACAATTACTGCACAATATGACAACCGAGATAAGAAACAATGCGACAACGTATTTTAATAATATCTTTAATACTTTTGTAAGTATGGTTTAATTTGATTTGACGTTATTTCCATATGAGCTAATAATTATTGAAACTATATGAATTATTTAGCAAACTTTGAATGCAAAGAAACCTACTATTGCTTCTTTTGGAGGAAAGGTGATTACTAATAATTACGGATTTTGCTTTTATATTTCAAAATTGTGTACTAATTAACAATCTTCATTATGCAGATAAAATTGTACGAAGATCCATTTGAGATTCCACATGGCCAAGCACAATCCGTATTCCTTGAAATGCTACGAGCGTATCAACAGAAATCTGTCCAAGAATCAAAAAGAAAGGATCGGGATAAAAATGACGAAGGTAATAGTTTTTGTAATTGATGTTCGCTTTATTGCCTATTCGTGTACTATTTTGGATCATTTTCAAATAATAAATTTATTCATTAATTTATTTAAAAATGCTAGATGAAAAACATTCATTACCAATTTCTGTAATGACAGACTACCATGAAAAGGCTGCACAACTCAAATCTCAACAACTCAGAAATCCGTTTGAAGACGAAGAAGAAAGAATTGAACGTGAAAAGTGGGAAAATTTAATTGCATTTGGGAACCCATATCGGCCAAGAGTGAGTATTAAGCATCTCTTTACTCTTATTTCTCTTTCTCTCCCCTCCCACCATTTCCATCTCGAACGCTAATATTTCCTTTGGTGAATAATTTAGCGTGGCTCCACTCCCGATAACTTTAAGCCGTCTATTAACATTGATATGCCCGCGTCTCCGTCTTCTTCATGGTCCCTGAGTCCAAGTAGCACGTTTGTAGAGTCATCAGGCACACCACCAGGAACGCAGCAGAATCCATTTCCGAGAAAAAAAGATTTTTCAAAGAAAAGACAAGGCAGAAAGATTCTTCTCTTTCCAAATAAGAAAACCAATAGTATCGAGAGTACCAATTCCACTCCTATTACTCCTACTACCACTAATACTGCTGTTGCTGCTACCACTTCTATTACTACCGAAGATATTTTAATGACAGATGCTGTAGCAACCTCACCAATAATATCACCGTCCAATAAAACAAAAGAAATACAAACTAACATCGACAGTAACATCATCACAGCTAACATTACAAATACAACACTCTCAATTACTACTTCCGACATTGAAATGACAGATGCTGATAAATCAACATCAGAAGATGTCACCAATGATCAAATTAATGACATCTCAAAGCAGCTTCATAAGCAGGTTTATATTAAAAAGGAGGACGATCATAATGAAACAATGATGGAAGTTGATGAAGTAGAAGACTCACCACTTGAAATGACACCAATAATAGGTAAAGAAAGTCTAGATAATAATGGTATGTGTATATGTATTATTGCATTTGTATGGAAAAATTTTTTTTTTTATATTTCATTCTCTTTCTTCTTTTTCTTAGAAAACATCAATAACGATAGCATACAATTATCGATCGCAGCTTCTACAGCACCACAAGTCTCAGTAGCAGATATAACCGTGAATATATCGATTCCCGTCGCTGTTGTCAACAATGGTGCAATTACAATGACATCATCTCAGTTTCCCAAATTCCCGGAATCGGCACGATCAAAATATGATCCATTAATTCCGATAGAACGTGACTCAAGTCGAGGTGGTGTCCCAGTATCATTATTTAATCCGATGAGGAATTGGATGCGGCAAATACAAAATATCAATGGTAATTTTTGGTTGCATTCTTTACATACAAATCTATATTAAAATTTTTATTCTCAATTTTCTAGCACAAGATAATCAGAAAATCCAAGAAATACTAACTGATATCAAAGATGCGCTAAACAAAGTTGCAAAAGAACAAGAGAATTCCAAAGAGAATCTACGGCGTATACTAATCGCTTTGGCTACCTGCGCGCGCGCTCACAAAAATTCGACTTTGGCAAAAGGGTTACGAGAGTTTGCAAGCACATTACAAGATAAACCGCTGCAGTTAATACCCATATCAAATAAATGGAAAAAAGAAGGTGGTGGGCTAATGGAAGGACAAGAAACATTGAAGTCAACTGTGCAGTGGGTTATGAAGGAGATTAAAAAACGCGAAGGTATGTGTTTATAAGTAATAATCATAATAATTTTGAGTTTTCGGAATTTTCGCATCTTTTTAAATTTTTCTAATTATTGTTATAATATGGATAAGGGTACAACGAAAGTAGTATCAAATCAAAATTATCAGAAATTACCACGGAAAATGGATATTCTCTTAAAGAGAAAGATTACCTATTGAAATTAGCACGGACATTAGCGCGAGGAAGTCGTCGATCGAATTTGGAAACGTGGATAATCTCAAGATTGAGTGGGTGAAAAATTAGTTGATTGAACTTATCGCGGTTTATTTTTATTCGTCGAGTTTGTATTGTGTTGGGATTTCAAGATCGATTTTCTTTTAAGGGCATTTTGAATCCGTGTTGTGTGAAAAAGCAAATTAAATTTCCTTCGTATTTTATATTTATTGTATATGATTTGAAAATATCACTCACTAATCATGCATAATAAAAAATTTGACTAATTTTTTTTTCCGGACAAGTTTTCTTTATTTTTGAAAGTTTCAAACTAACTACTGATCATCTATGATGAAAGAAGGTAGTAAAACGTATTTACTAATTCCCCTCCTCCCAAAGTTTGATTAGACGCAGAAAATCAATCGCTGGTTGGATAAATTGCTTACGCAATATTGAACTACCAATAAATTTTTGATCAACCCGTCTAATGAAGAAACCTGTTCTTGGTGTATTAATAAAAAATGTTCGGAAGAAAATTTTACATATAACCTGGACAGTAATCCTAATCCTAATTTTAATCTTAACAAACTTTATTATTAATTACAAAAATGGTTTTCCAGGAATTAATATTACATACATATTTGATTTTAGTTCAGAAACATAGATACAATAAAAGAATGATTAAGTAAATGTGTTTACAAAATATAATCAAATCAGGAACCATAAATTAACATTTTTATCACACAATAAATAAACAAAAACCAGAAAGTTACATTCATTCTTTAGCTTTTTCTGTCTCCTGAACAAGAATCATTGGTCTCATATACGGATCTTCCTTCTTTATCTCTGTTTGCTGTTTTCCATTATTATTCCACCACAAGCTCCATCGTTTACGCGGAGCAGCGTCTGACGAAGAATTTTGTCGTGGTGTTCGTCGTATCGGCTGCTGTTGTTCAGTGGCAGGTAATCGAAAAGGGCCTGATAAGGTTTTTCGATGTTCAAGCTTTTTCGCTGAATTGGCAGCAGTTGTAGCAGCAGCAGTAGTAGCAGCAGCAGCAGTAGACTCTTCGACAACAACTGATGGACTGTTAAGAGGCTTTGATAGCGTGTGTGGATTAGAGAATATGGTTGCAGCTTGTGAGGAATTTGATGGTGCTCTTTTTGTCCAGTCTGCAGAGATGACTTGTTCGAATCCTTCCTCTTCCATAATGCGATTAAGAATTTTTTGAAGATAGTTCTTTATTGTATTATATGAGTCCTTTAGACTCTTATTTTCTTCTAACAATGCTATTTACAATTATTAAATATAAAATTAAACATAGAAAATAAATTCATAGCAAAAAAGAATGTGAAAGTTGATATAAGAGAACACATACTCTCGACATCGACTATTTGATCGTTTTCTTTCTCCACTCGTTTACCAAATGGCGTATTATTGACGTTTCCGGCTGGCGCACGCTCAAGTTCAGCAGCCAAATCTGTGGCAGGTGATTTTGGACGCGACTTTTTCTCGGGTTTTATTGACGCGCCATTTCTATTGGTGGTACTATCGTCGTTTGTGGGTGATTCTTTGAGATTATCAATTAATTTCTGACGTGAATTATTATTTGCTTCGTGATGCTATATTTATGTTTGTTCAGTTAATAAAATATCAATTATTAAAACCATCATCAATAAATAAAATATTAATTTACCTGCATGATTGGATTTAGCATAAAGTCTCCTTTCATTGTTTTCTCATGTAGCAACAATTGAAACCCTTCATTCACATCTTCCAACGACCGTTTCACTTTTTCTAACTCGGTCTCCAAAAGAGCAATACGGCGCGCCTGGCTCTTGTTAATATTTATTTGATCAGTGGTGGCTGTTTTTGCTCGTTCTAATTCATTTTTCAATCGATTTATAAATTGATCCTGTTCTTTAATAGTACTCTTTAAGATCTTTATTTCACGTATAGCATTATGTAAAGTTGTCGTGGGCGATGGAGGACTGTTTTCTAATTGATTAATTCAGTCATTCGAACAAAAGAAAAATTGTTAGTTATATATATATTAGTATTCGCTTAAAGAGAAAGATTACCTATTGAATTTGGCACGGACATTAGCGCGGGGAAGATCGGATGGTGATGTCAGTTTGATTGAACTTGTCGCGGGTTATTTTTATTCAATCAAGTTTGTATTGTGTTGGGATTTCAAAGTCGATTTTCTTTTAAGGATATTTTGAATCCGTGTTGTGTAAAAAGCAAAGTAGATTTCTTTCGTATTCTATATTTATTTGAAAAATATCACTAATCATACAGTCCCCGCGAAAGTAATGGCGGTGTATGTTTTCGCCTATATTTTTACAAAGAAGCATCCAAAACTCACAAAAAAATTGTAGATATTCTCTTTCTAATAGACAAGGCATGTTAAATTTTGCGGAATTTCATGTGAAAGCAATTTTTGAAAATAAATACCAGTCAAAAAAGGGCTTTATTTTGATGATGAATTTTAAACCAGTAAATTTTTGACTGGTATTTATTTTAAAATTACAATACAAAATTATTTTCGAAGTTAACTCATGTAAACACCCAACCCGGCTCATTTTGTATTAGCATGCCTTGTGCTATTGGAAAATCTTGTTCATTGTCATAAGATAGGCCATTACTTTCGCCGGGGACTGTTCATAAATAAAAAATTGACTAATTTTTTTCCGGGTAAATTTTCTTTATTTTTGATAGTTTCCAAACTAATTTCTGATCATCCATGATGTCAGAAGGTAATAAAACAACGAGTAAAAAAATGTCTAGTTCAGAAACATAGATACAATAAAAGAATGATTAAGAAAATGCTTAATCTGGAAATAAAATGTACAAGTGAAAAATATTTTTTGTTTTTTTTCAATCGTTTAATAATCTACCAAAAATAAAACAAAAACTATATATATATATATATATAAAAATGGATTGAACAATAAATTCGTAAATTTTTGATTGTTTACAAGATATAATCAGGAACCATAAATTAACATTGTTATAAACTACACAATAAATAAACAAAACCAGAAAGTTGCATTCATTCTTTGGCTTTTTCTGTCTCCTGAACAAGAATCATTGGTCTCATATATGGATCTTCCTTCTTTATCTCCGTTTGCTGTTTTCCATTATTGTTATTATTGTTCCACCATAAACTCCATCGTTTACGTGGAGCACCATCAGACGAAGAATTTCGTCGTTGTGTTCGTCGTATCGGCTGCTGTTGCTCGGTGGCAGACACTGAATTAAGTTTCGTTGAAGAGACGTCCTCGCTGAGGCTTGTGGTTCGTGAATGTACAGGAGAAGGTGTGGGAAGTGGCGAGAGTTGATCTGCTTTTTCTTCAATGTTTTGGATTGTTGGTGATCTGGGAATTTTGATGTTGCTTGGTAATCGAAAAGGCCCTGATAAAGTTTTTCGACGTTCAACTTTTTTCGTTGAATTGGCAGCAGCAGCAGCAGTAGTAGTAGTGGTAGTAGTAGTAGTAGTAGTAGTAGCAGATTCTTCGACAATCACTGATGGATTAATAGGCTTTGATAGCGTGCGTAGATGAGAGAATGTGGTTGCAGTTGGTGTTGAAGGATTTGACGGTGCTCTTTTTGTCCAGTCTGCTGACAAGACTTGTTCGAATCCTTCCTCTTCCATAATGCGATTAAGAATTTTTTGAAGATAGTTCTTTATTGTATTATATGAGTCCTTTAGGCTCTTATTTTCTTCTAACAATGCTATTTGCAATTATTAAATATAAAATTATACATTAGAAAATAAATTCATAGCAAAAAAAAAATGTGAAAGTTAGTATAGGAGAACACGTACTCTCAACCCTCTCAGCATCAACTATTTGATCGCTTTCTTTCTCCACTCGTTCACCAAGTGGTGTATTATTGATGTTTCCGGCCGACGCACGCTCAAGTTCAGCAGCCAAATCTGTGACAAGTGATTTTGGACGTGACTTTTTCTCGCGTTTTATTGACGCACCAGTTCTATTGGTGTTGTTGTCGTCGTTTGTGGGTGATTCTTTGAGACTATCAATTAATTTCTGACGTGAATTATTTGCTTCGTGATGCTATATTTATGTTTTTTCAGTTAATAAAATATCAATTATTAAAACCATCACCAATAAATAAAATATTAATTTACCTGCATGATTGGATTTAGCATAAAGTCTCCTTTCATTGTTTTCTCATGTAGCAACAATTGAAACCCTTCATTCACATCTTCCAATGACCGTTTCACTCGTTTCACTTGTTCTAACTCAGTCTCCAAAAGAGCGATACGGAGAGCCTGGCTCTTGTTAATATTTATTTGATCAGTGGTGGCTGTTTTTGTTTGTTCTATTTCATTTTTCAATCGATTTATAAATCGATCCTGTTCTTTAATAGTACTTTTAGCGATCTTTATTTCACGGGTAGCATTATGTAAATTTGTCGTGGGCGATGGAGGACTATTTTCTAATTGATTAATTCAGTCATTCGAATAAAAATGGTTAGTTATATGTATACACGCGAAATCCACAAACTATATAAAAATAGTGCGAATAAAATAATGAACAAGTAGTGCCACCGGTCTCATATATATATATATATGTCTCTGTATATATGTGATGATATATGATATCTGGTTTACACACAAAACTTTCAAAAGAACACAAACCACGGGTGATTGTCCCGTCGGTACTATGCCTGTTCGAAAGTCTCGCAGATAGTGATGAGAATGCATGGTAGGAAGGAGAGAACATAGAATTCAAAAAACCAGATGTAGACGAAGTTGGCATCATACCATTGGAACTCGATTGATGACTATGTTTTTTTGATAAAGAATCAGAGGAGGAGGAACTGTTTATGCTGTCTCTACCTTGTTGTGCAAGGAGACTATTTGTATCTTGAAGTGCTTTGATTCGACTGTTTAGTTCTCCTTCCCGTTCTTGCCATGTTTGACGTTCTTTTTCAAATGTTAGTGTCTGATAATTTTTCAATTTTTTTATAAATAGAAACATATGGTAAATAACACTGTAAACATCAAATAATTGATTAACTCTTGAAGATTATAGAGCCTATATCTTGAATCTTTTAATCCAAAAGACTATAACGGTATCGCATTAATCAATCTTTCTTTCTTTCTTTTCTTTATCAATATCAGGGCTCGAACCAATAATAAAGAAATGAAAATACCTCTTCACGTAATTTTCGTTCAACTTCCCGAGTATTTTTCAAAAATCCAACATTTTCCTTCTTCAAACGATCAACTTCCTGTCCTTGTTGATAAAGCTCCAACTCAATTCGTGAAATCGCGTTATGTTGATTTGTAATTTCTTGTTGTAATGTTGTTATTTTTTTCCGGATTAATGTGTTTTCGTCAGTTAATGTTTTGTTGTCAGATTGTACACGATCAAGTTTTTCGCGAAGCTTTTGTCAATTAATAGAAAATAAATTTTGGTGAGTTGTTATTAATTAATGTCATCAATATGTTCAGTGATTTTTGTTATAGTTATTAATTAATGCTACATGCATGATTAGATGATTTAGGTTTAATTCAGGTAAACAGTAATTTTTTTTTTACTATCTTTGATATTTCAAATTCTTTGAAAAAAATCCCTTTCCTCTCAAAAACGCGTGCATTAATTAATTTCTTTGAGCCAATCTTAAAATTGATAATGTTCTGTTTTAATAAATTAAAGGTGATAAAATTCCCTACCATAACATTGGTGTTTTCACTGTTCTCGAGCTTCTGAAGAAGCGTGTTCATTTCTCTCTCGAGTGACGCTTTTTGTGTTTTGAGCGTAGTTAATTCTTTTTCCAATGACATTCTTTGCGTGTTAAGCGCAACCGCTTCTATTTCCAGTGACATCTCTTGTGTGTTATGCGTGGTCACCTCTCTTTCCAGTGACATTCTTGGCGTGTTAAGCGTGGCCACTTCGCTTTCCAGTGACATCTCTTGTGTTATGCGTTCAAAGAGAGAACGTGCCGATTGATTTTTATTTAGGATGTTGAATATGAATGAATGAGTGAGGTATATATATATATATATATTTTTTTTTTGATTGTCGTTTCGTTTTTTGTTCGTTATGATAAAACTTTTTTGTGATTAAGTAGATGCTGTTATAGTTCTTTATTATTTGCCAAAAAAACTATTTATATAAAAATAAAAAAGAAAGGATGAGGTGAAGTTTGCCAAGACGGATTGGCTTAAGATTTAACGGTTTGAGGTAATATCGTAAGAATAGAGAGTGTGAAGTGAGTGATAAAGTGTAATAATTATTATTCGTCAAATATGTTAATATGTGACTGTATGTATGTACGTATGTAACAGATAAGAAAGTACGTTCTCGTTAATTCGTTACAAGCAAAGCAAGTTTCGTTATCGTTATTCGTCGTTATAATATGTTTTATTTAAAGGAAATGAGACATGAAAAAATCTAATAACCGTTGTTTATGATTATATTTGGTGCAGCGGACGTGCATCTATTGTAATAAGGTACAAAAGATGGAGAGTTGAATACTAATAGTTGATGGTAAAATAGTAATATGAAGGCGGGCATGCAGTATGTTGACCTTAATGAGGAAGGTAATAGTTTTTTTGATGTATGCAGACGGATAAAGTACTAATTATTGTGGTTAAAGAACGAAGCGGATAATTTCTCATTTCCGAACGTAATTATCCCCTCAACCAAAATTGGTATATATAAGATCGACTTTTTCGTTAATATAATATAACATCAATCAATATCGATATATAGTAAAATAATCACTATCCAGTCTTAAACCAGCCTCTCCAACCAAAAAAAAAGCATGAATGAAACGTGTCGCCAATATTTTCGTCGTGCAGCAGATTTTTGTTTCGCTGCAGAATATACAACAACAATAATAAATAAATAATATCGAAAAGGTAGTCACTAGTTCGTTAACTAAAAGATAATGGATCATACAGTTGTCTTTTTGATATCGAACAATAAAAATATATTGGTCCCAATTTGATCACTTGTATATGATATAATAATCGTTAGATGTTGGGCAAAAAATCCATGTAGATCAAGTGATGTATGACAATTTTCTCAAGAATTATATGTATGCGAGATTATTTTTTTCTATCAAAATATGAATTTTTAATAACGACAACGATAGCAAATTAATAGCGCACTGTTTATCAAAATACGTCATAACAAAAATTTTGAGCGCATTGTGCTACATTTCAACTAGAGGACAGCGCTGTCAGGTTTATATATTAGAATTCTTCCCGTGTATACATTCTTTGGATTATTATTTCTGAGTGACAATACATCTTTCTCGCCTACAATTGAACCTATGCATTCCTAACCAAACCTTATATTTATATACAGGCTTGTGAGAATGCACAAGTACTGCAAGGACCACAATGAGATGGGCCCTTGCGCCAGCGAGTGCTGGCTCTTCTTGTGAGCGTTAATGAAACGTAAGATGGCGAAGTAGTATGTTTCGGGCACCGTTAATATCTCTATCAAGCTCACCTAACTTTTTATGGAGATGACCGTAGTGACCACAGGTTTTGCTTGTGTACATTAAATAATTCAGCACCGCAATGTGTGCTGACGGAAACGATAGCGCCCAAGTGCACATTGTTCTTTCTGTCTTGGAACGGATGCATCGATACCCACAGCGAATTATATTTTTAATTTAAATTCGGGAAGAATAACCATTTGGCAAGCTTGTTGTGGCAGCCATCTACAAAGACTACGAATTTTTTATGTGCCACATGACACATCGAAGTTACGTTCCTGTGGGTTCTCTGGAGCTTATCGTATGCATTGCAAAGTCAGTATATCCTTAACCCACTATATGGCTGATCCGCTTGAATCGTAATCCGTTATGAAGGTTCTCACACTTTGGATCAGTGCGATGACACCCGATCCTTCCTCATCTTGTCCCTTTGAGAATGCAGGGCCTTGGTTCTCAGCCCGTATTTCAAGTGGCCCAGCACGCAGAGGTAAAATTCATTAAGACGGTTCCATCACAATATAACTATCATACCGTAATTGCTTCGGTAATGGTTCTTGAGGAATGCATATTCTCTTACAGGCTGTTAGGATCTTTTAGAACTT